AAATTGTGTTGTTCCCCCCCTGCTACAACGACATCGGCTCCGCCTGAGCTCCCTCACAATTCATTATGGGATCGCGCTCTCGCGCGGGACTTCCTCACAACGTATGCAAGAATCTCGCTGTGGCGTGGGACTTCGTTGCAAATTATCTGGACGCCGCGCCCTCGACACTCAGGCGCTATCGCTCAAAACTTCCTCGCGATTCATGCAGAGGTGACGGTTCAGCAACCCGCCTGCTGCACCAGGCCGCCTGGGCCCGCCTTCCCGGCCCGCCCGCCAGGGTCTGCCAACCCGATCTGCCAGCATGGTTCTACCACGTGCTTCCTGCTCCCACCCCCCTCTGCTGCTAATCCGATGTTCCATCCTAGTCCCTCTCCTTTCAATCCCTTCTCTGGTCTCTTGTTTCCGCGGCTGTACCAATTACGCGTGGCAAATCAGATATGCACTCAATTGGGCACGATCTAATACGAAGACGACGAGTATCGACGGTTTGGATTATACATGTTGAACGGCGCTCCAGCAGGCCAGAGCGAACAGTCTTAACATGACTGTTATCCCCGAGCTGTCATTATTGAAAAAAGTCAATCCCGCAGAAGGTGAGCATTTTGAATTTCCCAAAAAGTGCCCCACTCGGGGCTCGCACCCAGATTCTCATCATGGAAGAAATTCCGGCTCAACCTGTGCTGTTGCCCCCCCGGCTGAAACGACATCGGTTCCGCCCGAGCTCCCTCACAATTCATTACGGGATCGCGCTCTCGCGCGGGACTTCCTCGCAACGTATGCAAGAATCTCGCTGTGGCGTGGGACTTCCTGGCAATTTATCCGGACGCTGCGCCCTCGACACTCAGGTATCACATTCTCGCTCGGGCGTCCCTCATGATTCACTCGAGAATCGCGTTAATGGTTCCACCCTGATTCCTCCTTTCAAATCACTGTGGAATCTCGAGTTTCGCTCGCGCGTGGGTCTTCCCCACAATGGATGTAAGAATCTCGTTCTGGCGTGGGACTTTCTTGCGATTTCTCTTCGGCGCTCAGGAATGCCACGAATACCTTGGGGGAAGCCAAACTGGCCCGCGGTTTACAACAACAGCGGCTCCCGCCTGATACAACATCGCGCTCTTGCGCGGTACTTCCTCACATGTTGTATTCCCAAGTCGCGCCCTCGCGCGGGACTTCCTCGCAGCTTATTCAGACGATGCGCCCTTGGCGCTCAGGAATCACGCTGTCGCTTTGGTTTTCACGATTTTCTTGGGAATCGCGTTATCGCTCGAAACTTCCTCGCGATTCAATCAGGACCCGCGCTTCAGCATCCCGCCTGCTCGACCTGGTCGCCTGGGCCCGCCTTCCCGACCTGCTCGCTATGGGTCTGCCCACCCGATCAGCCCGTCTGGTTCTACCACTTGTTTTTTGCTCCTTGCCCCCCTCCTGCTAATTTCTCTCGTGCTCCATTCTTTTCCCTCCCCATTCCACCCGTCTTCTGTTTCCGAGTTTTAAGGGCTGCGCTCCATGCACGTGGCAGGTGAAGACGATATACCCCCAAGGGGGTACGATCGAAGACGACGAGGGCGTGTACCGAGGGCTTGGGATATACGTATTGATTGGCACGTGAGCAGGTAGGAGCGAACAGTCTTAAAATGATTGTTGTCGTCGCCCACGCCCGCGACCCACCCAAAGTGCTTTGACGAAACAGTCGGCGCCTGCGACGGGCCCACTGCATAACTTGAAAGTTGGGCGCCTGCGGCGGGCTTCTTCAAAGCCTCGCAGACTGCCGACGACCCCGCCGCCCCCGCACTCTCATCCGCAACTTGCGGGGTGCTGCGCACCAGCTGGCGCGCACGTCCGCGCAACTTCGCGGATCCGGGCCGGACCACCCTCGCCGGGAGCGCCGCCAGGGGGTCCGGCGCCGAGCCAGAAGACCCGCGCGGAACACCGAGCACGCATGCTTTCGCAGTCTGCTCTCCGTCGTCTCTCCTTTGCCGCGGCCTGCTGCTCCTCCCGATCCTGATCCGCCTGCTCCTCCGTTTTCTGTGCAGCGCTTGGTGCCCGCCCAGGCTCCGGCCTCTACAGGCCAGCGACTGCAGGCCTCTCGTGCGGAGCTGCTGGGGATGTTGCTGCTCACCCTGCCTCCTTCCCTTCTCGCCGTTGCCCCTTCCTGGATGTCCTCGCCTCCTCGTCCCTCCTGCTTCCCTGCCCGTTCTCCACCTTCGACCTTCGGGCAGGTGGCGGTGTTGCTGGCCAAGTCTTTCTCCAGCTCTTCCTCCTCCTCGGTCTCGTCGCCCTCCTCCTCCTCCTCCTCCTCCTCCTCCTCCTCCTCCTCCTCCCTTCCCCTCCTCTTATTCCCCCTCACCCTCGATCCCTTTCCGCCTCCGCCTCCTCGTGTTGCCTCCTCCGTCCCGTCAGCAACAAAAACAACAGGAAGCTCAGAACCCAAAGCGGGCAAGAGACGTCCGAATGCCGCCAAACTCCTCAAAGGGATGAGGACATATCTACCACGGCGAAGGACCCCCAGCACGATTGCTTCGAATCGAGAAACGTCTCCGGGAGTGTTCGGAGGTCCTCACGAATCCCAAGAAGCCCCTGCAACGCCCCTAGGTCTCCAAGGGCCCTCCTCAAGAGGACCGGGCACGGCTAACACGTTACAAGCAACGAGATCCCAGACCTCCGATACAGTGCTTTTTCTCTTTGCGCCGACCCTGGAGCTCTTGACGACCCGTTCCCGTAGTGGGACCGGTCTTCCACCCCGGATCGTGCTCTGCTCGCCGCAGATCCCGACAACGGCCACCAGCTGCCCACAAGCACGGGGAACCCACACTTTTCTGGGGGTCGTGGCGGTGGCGAGCGCGCACCGCGTCGGGGCCTGAGCGCTGCGGGGCGAAGCGTGCCGAAGCGGGCGGGAGACAGAGGAGGGAGCTGTAGTGGAGAAGGAAGCAGGCGAAGGGCGGCGCACTGAAATTGGGAGCGGCCTCGTGAGCTGTGCGTGCGGCAGACGGGGCCCTGGGTAGGGGCGACGCCAGCAGGAGGGCTAAAAAATAGCACCCGACTTAAAAACCTATCCCAAAGCTATTCTACGTCTTGGTTTTAGGCTGTTTCGCTCAGTTCTTTCGGTTTTTCGGCCTCCAGTGCTAAAAAATAGCTCTCTGGAAGGTCAGTGGGGGGTGGGGGGGGGGGGAGCGGCACGCTCATCATGCTCTGCAGCACTGCGGACGGTCGAAGCCTGGGAGGCCTCCGAGGCACGCTGCCTGCACTGCTTCTGCTGGGCGCGCTGTGCTGCAGGCGTACTGGCATGCGCGTAGCACCGGAGGTTCAGAATCTGGGCCGGCGAGCCGGTCGGGCTCGCCGGGTGCACCCTGTCGGGGGGGTCCGAGAGGGTGGGGTCCAAGCGGGGGGTTCGCAGGTCGCGGCCCGAGGCACGCGCGCGGAGGTAAGGGGGGACCCAGGGGCACCTTGAAAGAAGAGGAGGGTCCGTGAAATCTGGGCAGATCTCATGGCCCAGGCCATGAGCTACCCACTCCCCCCCAGCCACCACACCCTCACCCTCTCTGGGGAAACCAAAAGGAGAAGGGGGGGTCAGCACCAAAGACCCCTGCGGGTTAACTCGCGCGACCTCTCCGCGGACGCGTTCTGACCAGGACTTCGAAGTCGAATCCAGCGGTTGCGACGAGGGCCTGCCGGGAGGCCCAAGAAGGGTGGAAGCGAGGCAAGGGTGGCAGTATGGGCACCTCTCGTCCTTGACACCGCACCCTCTCATGGACCGCCACCGATGGCGCGATGCTCAGGACCTTCCCCAGGCACGGCGGGGAGCGCAGCGCGCGCGGGCGCGGCGCACAGGAAAGGGCGGACGGCGCAGGGCCATTGGAGCCCACCCCTGGCGGCTGCAACAGGGGGGGGGATCGCCCCTATCAGGGGGAGCACGCCGCGTGTCCATGACCTCCGATAGCCCACGCCCTCGAAAAGGACCCCCAGCGAATGAGGAGGGAGGGGGGAGTGAGGAGGAGGAGGAGGAGGAGGCGGAGGAGGAGGCGGAGGAGGAGGAGGAGGAGGAGGAGGAGGAGGAGGAGGGGGAGGCGGAGAACGAGAAGGAGGAGGAGGAGGAGGAGGAGGAGGTGGAGGAGGAGGAGTAGGAGGAGGAGGGGGAGGGGGAAAAGGAGAAGGAGGAAGAGGAGGGAGAAGAAGGAGGAGGAGGAGGAGGAGGAGGCAGTGGGCTGCCCACCCCGTCTGTGCCGCCGCCGACCCTCCGGCGGTGGTCCTGGGCCTGGCCGAGACCGGCGCCGTGCTCCCGAGACGCCGACCGCAGCACCTGAAGCCTGACCCAGACATCAGGCGTCGCGAACTCTGGACCTCTCTTCCCAGGGAGCGGCTCTTCATCCAGGGTGGCTTTCCGTGGACGGTCCCAGGGCCTTGTGAGTGCCCCTGGGGTCCTGAACAACAATGGCTCACAGACCTGTCGTCGCGACTGGATATCCACGGCGTGAACATGTCATTGGAATATTTTGAGGGGCAACGATCGGGGGGGGGACCGGGCCCCCGCGAGTTCGCGAATCCGCACGCTCCTGAGCGGGGTGGGCATAGCAGGCCCGCCGTCGGTGATCAGTGACTGGTTGGCGACCGGGGGTTGACGCATCCCCCCCACGAGCCCATCTCCCCCCCCCAAACGTTGCCCGCCGGGCCTCCGGGTCAGGCCCTCCGGCGGCCCTTCGGGGCGAGCCGAAGGCCCCGGCCGGGAACGCCCTCGGCGAGGCGCAGCAGCTGGAAGGCACCCCGAGGCTGGAAAGCCGCCCGGAACCGACGCACGCGCCCGCGAGCCCGCGAGCCTCGAGCCTCGAGCCACGAACCCCGCCCGAACGGCCCCTGACGCGGCCCCCGATGCTCCTCCTCGGTCGGTCGAGATGCCGGCCCGTGCGCCGAGGAGGAGGAGGAGGAGGAGGAGGAGGAGGAGGAGGAGGAGAAGGAGGAGGAGGAGGGGGGAGGGCGGCGGCGCTCGGCGACGCGCCCGGCCGCCATAGCCCCCGATGCCGGCCTGAGGCGCCTCCGCGGGGTGCAGCTCCGCCTGCGGCCATATCGGGAGGAGGCGCAGGAGAGGCCAGCTCGCGAGAGAGGCGCACCTCGATCCGGGCACGGGCGGGCCGCACGCGGGAGTGACCCGTCGCCAGTGGCCCTCCTCCTCCTCCTCCCCCTCCTCCTCCTCCTCCGATCCCCCTCCCCCTCCTCCTCGATCCTCCTCCTCCTCGATCCCCCTCGCCCTTGATCCTCCTCCTCCCCCTCCTCCTCCCCCCCCCCCCGCGGGAGTGACCCGCAGGAGGTGCGCGGCGTTGGATGAGGAGGTGCTCACGAGCGGCGCACGTCAGGAGAGGCAAGAGTATACCACTGCCACCGGCCAGGGGGGTGGCCGCTCCCTCCCCTCGAGCTGGCGGCACCTCCTGCCGGGAGGGAACTCTCTGCGGAGGCACGCCCGGAGCGAGGGGCCACCAGCGCGAGAGGCCGGACAGCCACCCCCCCAACTGGTGGTCGTGGTATAGTGGCACTTCTGCTACCTCTGGTGTCCGCATCCGTGGTCGGGGACCTGGGCCGCGATCCCGGGGCATGCGCGGTCGCACGGACACGTTCCGCGCGGGGCATCCGCGAAACAGCGCCCCGTGCCCGCGGGGTCGCGGCCCAGGGGGCCGGCCCGCGAGGCCCACGAGAGGAGGCGCGGGAGAGGAGGAGCTGCGCTGGCCCTGACACCCTCTCGCGCCGTGGAGAAGCCACGGCGGAAGGTTCCCGTGTTGCCTCCCGGAACCCAAGACCTTTGTGGGCCCCGGAAACGGCAGGGCCGCTTTTTCCCCGTTTCCCCAAAAAATGCCTCCTGAAAATGGAAGCGGCAACAAAAACGGCGACCGGAAATGGCAAACAAACGGCTCCAGGAGTGGAGCCGGAGCCGGAACCTGTCAAACAACGGCGACGGAACCGGTGGAAAAACGGCGTCGGAACCGGCAAAAAAACGGCAAAACGGAACCGGTAAAAAAACGGCCCTGTCGTTTCCGGGGCCCACTAAGCCCAGGACCCCCCCGGGCCAACAAGAAGTCACGACTTTCGGCAGAAACCGACTGAAGATGAAAAGCTGGGTCCCAGAGAATTTATGACACCTACGGAAAAAAACATTCACTGCGTGGAGCTCCCCATATGTGCATCTATTCGCATGGACCTGTCCGCCGTGAATATCTAGGCTCAAGAGCTTTCGAATATAAACGGGCTTCAGTTGTGACGGTCTGGTCATGAATCTAACTGAGAATGAATTGGAGTGTGAATGAGCCTCAGTAGCACGAGCGCGTCACTGCGCAAGAGCCCGGATCCTCCTGGAGCCTCCTGCTTGGATGACCGTGGGGGTTATTAAGTGGATAGGGGGGTTACAAGTGGATGCTAAGGTGGGTTATATCTGGCCCAACCTGGCTTATAAGTGGGTTACAAGTGCCTTAAGTAGCTTATGGGGGGTTAACGATCCAGGCTAAGTGGGCTCCGCCCACTTAGCGGAGTTATCTAACCCCCTAAGCCATTCGGGGCGCTTCTAACCCACTTATAGGCCAGGTTGGGCCAGATATAACCCACCTTAGCATCCACGCGTGCCTCCCCTATCTACTTAGAACCCCCCACGGTCATTCCAGTGGGGCCTCCTGAAACCTACTGGGGCTTCCTGGAGCCTCCTGGAGCCTCTTGGGGCCTCCTGGGGCCTCCTGGGACCTCCTAGGGAGGATTTGTGCCCCAGGAGAGGCGCAATATAACAGACGTACATAAAACATTGCGGATTGAAGCCACAGGAGAAGGGGGCAATCTATAGGAACACACGTAAAACACTAAGGACTCGTGCCCCAGGAGAGGCCCTATAGGAACATAAGTACATAGGAGAAGGACAATCTATATAAACATACGTATAACATCAAGGATTCGTGCTCCAGGTGAGGCCCAATCGTTAGGAGCATACGTACAACACATGGGATTGGAGCCACTCCTGTTGCCTTCTGAGGCCTCCTGCTCCTGGGGCCTCTCGGGGCCTCCTGTTGCCTTCCGAGACCTCCTGGCGCTTCCTCTGGCCTCCTGGGACCTCCTGTGGCTTCCTAGAGCCTCTTGGGACATCCTGTAGCCTCTTGAGTCATTATGTGGCCTCATGATGCCTCCTGGGACCTCATGTGGTCTCCTGGGGCCTCCTGGAGCCTCCTGTGGCATCCTGAAGAGAATCTGTGCCTACGAGTCTGGCCACCGATCGAGACATCGTCAAAATCTGACCCACCTGGGGGGTGAAAATGAGCGCCTCGCTCGAGACATCCTCCAAATCTGCTCCGAAAGCGAAGGATGTTGGGACAGAAAACACACTAACGGCTTGAGAAATTCCCACAAGACGGCCGCGAACGGGACCGTGAGATAACCCCTGGCGGCTTCCCTTAGGGAGGTGAAAATAAGCGCCTCGAGGCATCCTCCAAATCTGCTCCGAAAACGAAACATGTTGGGACAGAAGCAATCCGCTTGAAACATCCCCACAACACGGCTGCGAACGGGACCGTGAGATAACCCCTGGCCGCTCCTGGTGTGAAAATGAGCGCCTCGCTCGCGACATCCTCCAAATCTGCTCCGAAAGCGAAGGATGTTGGGACAGAAAAAACAAGCAAACCGCTGGAGACATCCCCGAGATAACACCTGGCGGTTTCCCTTAGGGGGATGAAAATGAGCGCCTCGCTCGAGACATCCTCCAAATCTGCTCCGCAAGCGAAGGATGCTGGGACAGAAAACCAGCAAACCGCTGGAGACATCCCTACAAAACGGCCGCGAACGGGACCGTGCAATACTCCTCGGCGGCTGCGCTTAGGGTGTGAAAATGAGCGCCTCGCTCGAGACATCCTCCAAATCTGCTCCGAAAACGAAGCATGTTGGGACAGACATCAAGCAAACCGCTTGAAACATCCCCACAAAACGGCCGCGAACGGGACCGTGAAATACCCCTCGGCGGCTCCCCCTGGGAAGGTGAAAATGAGCGCCTCGCTCGAGACATCCTCCAAATCTGCTCCGAAAACGAAGCATGTTGGGACAGACATCAAGCAAACCGCTTGAAACATCCCCACAAAACGGCCGCGAACGGGACCGTGAAATACCCCTCGGCGGCTCCCCCTGGGAAGGTGAAAATGAGCGCCTCGCTCGAGACATCCTCCAAATCTGCTCCGAAAACGAAGCATGTTGGGACAGACATCAAGCAAACCGCTTGAAACATCCCCACAAAACGGCTGCGAACGGGACCGTGAAATACCTCTCGACGGCTCCTGAGCGCCTCGCTCGAGACAAAACGGCCGCGAACGGGACCGTGAGATAACCCCTGGCGGCCCCCCTTAGGGACGTGAAAATTATTCACTGCGTGGAGCTCCCCATATGTGCATCTACTCGCATGGACCAGTGTCTAGGCGCAAGAGCTTTCGAATATTAACTGGCTTCAGTTGTGACGGTCTGGACATCAATCTAACTGCGAATGAATTGGAGTGTGAATGAGCCTCAGTAGTACGAGCGCGTCTCTGTGCATGAGCCTGGGGCCTCCTGGGGCCTCCTGAAACCTACTGGGGCTTCCTGGGGTCTCCAGGAGCCTCTTGGGACCTCCTGGGACCTCCTAGGAAGGTTTCGTGCCCCAGGAGAGGCGCAATCTATAGCAACAGGCGTACATAAAACAGTGCGGATTAGAGCCACAGGAGAAGGGCAATCTATAGGAACACGCGTAAAACACCAAGGACTCGTGCCCCAGGAGAGGCCCAATACATAGGAACATGAGTAAAACATTTAGGATTGTGTACACAGGAGAAGGACCATCTATAGAAACATACGTAGAACATCAAAGAATCGTGCTCCAGGTGAGGCCCAATCGATAGGAGCATACGTAAAACACATGGGATTGGAGCCACTCCTGTTGCCTTCTGAGGCCTCCTGCTCCTGGGGCCTCTCGGGGCCTCCTGTTGCCTTCCGAGGCCTCCTGGCGCTTCCTGTTGCCTCCTGGGGTCTCCTGTGGTTTCCTGAGGCCTTCTGGAGCTTCCTGGGGCTCCTGGAGCCTCTTGGGACATCCTGTGGCCTCTTGAGTCTTTCTGTGGCCTCCTGATGCCTCCTGGGACCTCATGTGGTCTCCTGGGGCCTCCTGGAGCCTGTTGGAGCCTCCTGTGGCATCCTGAGAAGAATCTGCGCCCACGAGCCTGGCCACCAAAACAAGCAAACCGATCGAGACATCCTCAAAATCTGGCCCACCTGGGGTGAAAATGAGCGCCTCGCTCGAGACATCCTCCAAATCTGCTCCGAAAACGAAAGATGCTGGCACAGAAAACAAGCAAACCGCTCGAGACATCCCCACAAAATTCCGCGAACGGGACCCCATGAAATACCCCCCCGCCGCCCCCCTTAGAGTGCTGAGACGAGCGAATCGCCTGAGACATCCTCCAAATCTGCTCCGAAAACGAAACATGTTGGATCAGAAAATGGCCAAACCGCCTGAGACATCCCCACAAAATTCCGCGAACGGGACCCCGTGAAATACCCCCCCGCCGCCCCCTTTAGATCGCTGAGACGAGCGAATCGCCTGAGTCTGAGTGATGACTGAGTCTGAGTGATGAGAGAGCATGAGTGAGTCTGAGTGATGAGTGAATCTGAGTGGTGAGTCTGAGTGATGAGTGGTGTGTCTGAGTGAGGACTGAGTCTGAGTGATGAGTGAGTCTTGATGAGTGAGTCTGAGTGATGAGTGAGTGGGGAATCAAAAACCCATCTTTGGATATGGGGAATCAAGAACCCCATCTTAGGATATGGGGAATAACTTACGTGTGTGTCTGAGTGATGGGTGTGGTGTTCTGTCCTGTTCTGTGTCCTTCCGCCGCGGTCCGCCAATAACAAGAACCCCATCTTTGGATATGGGAAATCAAAACCCCATCTTTGGATATGGGGAATCAAGAACCCCATCTTAGGATATGGGGGAATAACTTACGTGTGTGTCTGAGTGATGGGTGTGGTGTTCTGTCCTGTTCTGTGTCCTTCCGGCGCGGTCAAATAATTATTCACTGCGT